CCCACACACCTCCTGTCCCTGCTCAAGGCAGAGCCCACCAAGGACGAGCTGGCCAAGATATCCGACTCAGTCAGCCTACCCATTCCAGTGGTGAAGAAGTGGTTTGACAAAATGCAGGATGGCCAGAGGTCTCTGGGGGCCCCCACCCCTCCCTCAGAGCAGCAGGACACCTGTGAGGCTCACCACGTGGTGTCCCTGGTTCCAGGGCGGGATGCAGCTGCCACCAGTCCTCCAGAGAGTCAGGACAGTCCCACTGAAGCCACGCCGGCCGAGGGCCATGGCGCTCGCAGCTCCCCGGCCCCCCCCTCACCACTAAACCTGACAGGGGGGGGGCCTGGCCAAGCTGATAGCCCTCAGAGCACGGAGGGGCCCTTAGACCTGTCTCTGCCAAAGCCCGCCAGAGAGCAGGCCGAGGGCGTGCAGCCCAGGGTGTGCGCTCACCCCCCCCCTTCCCCCGCCGCCACCAACCAGGAAGAACCCCTGAACTTAACTTGCACAAAGAAAGACGCATCACCACTCTCAGCGATGGGGGGCTGCCCTGTCACACTGTATGCCAGCCAGCTAAGTGCCAAACCCCTGGACATTGTGACCACCATGCAGTGCCTCAGAGCACTGGCCAGCAAACGCCCACAGACCATCCTCATCCCCCAGCTGGCCTACACCTACAGCACGGCCGCCAGCAGCCCCGCCGGGACCACCACCCCGGACAGCCTCAGCCTCAGCGGAGTCAAGGTGCGCATGGCCTTCCCAGTGTGTATGGGGGGGGGCAGCTGCTGCTCAGTGAGTCAGGGAGATTCGATCAGAGCAGCTACTCTGCTCCAGCCAGGGAAGTTATCCTTATTAAGTAAGTCGTTTTTTGGAGGAAATTGAGCAGAGTTGAAACAAAAGTGGACTGCTCTAAACTTAGATTTGAATCTGAAAAGTAATCAGTCTAAACTTTGCTTTAAATGAGAAATGCTCCATGTTATTATCTCTTATTGTTAGGAAGCACTACAATGTTAAGAAACCCCCCAAGTCTAAGCAAAAGCCACAGAAAAACGTGCTCCTTTGGCTCTTTAAGATGGTGCTCCTGACAGCTCCTCATTGAGCAGACACCAGACTGGAGCGTGCTGCAGCTCTGAGTGTGCACGTGAGCAGCCGCACACAGCCTGCAGACGGCTGGCCTCTCCAAAAAAGAACTTCAGCCGTTTATGTCAACATTAAGTTTGCCAGGCAGCCTCTGAGGAGAGGATGAGCTTTAGTGGAGCAGGAAGTGATGGGAGCAGTGATTCTGCTCCATTCACTCCCATCTCTGCTGCTCCCAATCATTCACCGTGTCCTGTAGTGGAACCAAAGGTTCAGCCAGGTCTGTACTGCGGCCAGCATTAACTCCAGCTCACCCATTCCTCAGGAGGAGGCCTCGGAAGGAACGTGCCCCATGGAGGAGCAGAACGACTCAGACTCCGGTCCTGTGAGGAAGAAGATGAAGAAGACGGACGCCGGCATGTACGCCTGCGACCTGTGTGACAAAATCTTCCAGAAGAGCAGCTCGCTGCTGAGACACAAATACGAACACACAGGTAACCACAGCTGTATGGAAGCATGCTCACACTTTAAGTGCTGAAGTTCATCCGGGTGGAGTGTTAGGTGAACACAAGTGAGCACAAGCTTTTCAGGCATGTATGAGGGCCTCGTTATCCAGCTACTGGCCCACAGGCCTGATCCCATCTCCCAAATCCGGAGATGCATTGATAGAGAATCCCACTTTTCACTGAGCTGCACATAGTCTTTTGTGTTCTTCTTAGATGAACTGACAATAGGGGAGATTTAGAGTATGTCAAAGTAACATACACAATTGTTTACCTGATGGTAAACCTGGAAATCAATAAAAGGGCTTTCCAAAGCCACAGCCAAATATCACACATGGAACACAGAAGAGAGAGAGAAAACCCTCTGAAGCAGAGCTTGTCTCAGCATCCATCTCTGTTGCGCCTGGAAAGATGAGTCAGAGTGTGAGCCAAGGGGGATTTTGAGCTGAGCTGAAAAGAAGGGTGGACACCTCTATTCCAGCAGGTATTACTCAACATGCACAGAAGAGGTCTGAGCCTTTTTCCCAGCAGTTCTCCACCTCTGCACTGCCAGCTGCTGGTGGAAAGCACAGAGTGTTGCAACAGGAGAGTTCTGCAAGTGATTTGACGGGCTGGTGTGTCCAAGCTGGGGTCAGAGATTCTTTTTCTTTATGAGTCTGATACCTGGCGTGGAACCCCAGGTTTCAGCTCCAAGTGACCTCATCTTGGTGAAACTGGCTGATCTCTGTGTACACATGGTTCCTCAGCTATTTGGGGATTTACCAGAAGTGTTCACTGCGTTCCACCCATGCTGGTGGCTCAGCTCTGCTCACAGATGAGCTGTGTGCTAAACATGTGTGTGTGTGTGTGTCTGCAGGGAAGCGGCCTCATGAGTGTGGCATCTGCAGCAAAGCCTTCAAACACAAGCACCACCTGATCGAACACATGCGCCTCCATTCAGGGGAGAAGCCCTACCAGTGCGACAAGTGTGGGAAGCGCTTCTCCCACTCGGGCTCCTACTCCCAGCACATGAACCACCGCTACTCCTACTGCAAGAAGGAGAGCCAGAGCCCAGCCGGAGGCCGGGAGAGCCCAGAGGACGGCCAGGCCCTGGAGGCCCCTCAGAGGCAGCACCAAGCCCCCTCCCTGCCGGACGAGGACGAGCGAGGGAGCAGCGCCCGAGAGGAGGAGGACAGCGAGGAGGAGGAGGAGGAGGAGGAGGAGGAGGAGGAGGAAGGTGTGCTGGACATGGACGATATCCAGGTGGTGCGGATAGGGGATGATGGAGGTGAGGAGGAGCAAGAGAAGAAGAGTGAAGAGAAGATAGAGACCACTAAAGAGGTTGGGGACAGAGAGGAGGAAACAACAAGGATAGAGGAGGAAGTGGAGGCTGGCACAAGGGAGGAGGAGGAGGAGGTGCTGAAGAGTGCTCACGAGGAGGAGGCAGTTCACACACAGGGAGGTGAGGTCAAAGAGAAAAGCAGCGGCCAATCAAATGAGAGCAGGCCCTGTGAAGCAGAAGGCCATGCAGACTAACAGAAGAGCCAGACCTTCCCAAAAGAGGCCCCCTCCCACAGCGGGGGCCCCAGGCAGGAGGTGCTGTCTGTCTACTGTGTGCTAATCCAGGTGTGCCTGAACAAATGCTCCTTCTCCACGCTCAGAAGAACCCGCACGGAGCCGGAGAGGAGTTTTAGCAAACGAAGGACATGCATCAGACAGACTGTGGAAGCTAGAGCCGACTTGTTTTAGGTAATGTTGTTACTAAAACTCCCCGAGTCAGTTCTTTTAATCAGTGTTACTAATTTTATCACTCATATTTTAACCTTTAAAAGCTGTACAGTTGGGAGAAATGTCTATGTTTTTATTGCCAATGAACAAAAGAAGTCAGTATTTTGTTAAGTTGGGAGTACAAGAAGAAAAACCCAGTGCACTACCAGTGGCTTGGCTCCCCCCAGATGGAGCAGTCGTGCACCCCTCAGTGTTACCGGTGTACCATGCATCCCACTCGCAGATGTCTGCATCACACTAGCTGTGTTGTTCGGTCAGACTGTGAACCTTAAGAAGAAGTCCTTTCTTTCTCCAATCAGTGTTAAACAGGAAGCGTTTCACATTTTTTGGAATGAACTTTCTTGGTGAAAAGATTATATGATTTTGATAAATGCCATCTTAGCTTGGCTGAATCTGCCTGCCAGCACTATTAAAGACCACTAAGTAACCTTTCAGGTTTTTGAACTTGTTGGTTTGATCTGGACAGCTTGGCACATAAACTCACTAAACTGCAGCTTGTCCCTTTTGTGCACCTGTGCAGGACAAAGCAGCTCCCTGCTCTTTGTCAGCAAGAA